TATAAACTTTGTTTAAATTTTATGCATTAACAATGTATAAAATTAATAAAAAATTGTTTTTAAGAAGTAGAGAACAACTGATTAGTACAATTAATATAAATCAACCTGGTCTGAAAATAAAAATATTTTTAAAATATGTATGTATGTGTATCTCCATATATGTGTTTTGTATATTTGTGTGTATTTATTTGAAGGCATTGGAAAGATAACATGACTGTGAAAAGTATGGGGCCAAGATCTCAGAAAAAAGTATATACCTAAAATGGTGATCCTGGTATTTGGCTCAACCTCTTCTCCAGGTGTGTTAATGAATTTCTGAGGTGGTAGCTGAGAGTCTGAGGGACAGTAGAACTGTGGAGACTCATAAGGCTGAGGATGAAAATATTGTTTAGTATCTGCCCAGAAGAGCTTTTGGTTGGGAACTTGAAGGACTGCTCCCTTAAGAAAAAGGGTATAAATCATAAAATGTTCAACCTCTCCTCACAGGGATGAAAGTTTCACACCACATCTCAGTCCTTGATTGGATTAAGGTGATCCAGGATTATTTGTGCACCAAGCCTAACTCTGCTTACCAGAAGTGAAAGTAAATCTACTGAGAAAGATGTCAATCACAACTACACATTAAATCTGTGGTTATCCATATACATAGCCTGACACTCAGTTCAGCATACCTAGCATATGAACAAATGAAACAACATGATGACAGAACAAGATAATCAATCGACAAAGGAAATGATACCTGGATAATAAACTTATCCAACACAGACTTTTTTTTTTCATTTTAAAACATTCCAACACAGACTTTTATATATTCAAGTCATAAAGACTTAAGTTTAAAATTTTAGCCGAAAATTGAAAATTAACAAAAGAACCTAATGGGAAATGTGGAATTGACAAATATAACAACAGAAATTAGGAATTTGGTGGATTTAGATTTGGATAGTATAAGAAAATAGAGAAAACTGCTAAGAAATAAAAGAATGAAAAATATGAAAAGAGCATAAGAGACATAGATGATACATTCAGAAGGTCTAATATATGTATATTATATAATTTATGTCCTTGAAGGAGAAAAATGGAGAGTCAAATAAGGACAGATAATGGCTGAGAATTTTTTAAATGTAACAGAGAGCTATCAAACAACAAATTCATTAACCCCTGTAATTAGGGCAGGATAAATACATTACAGTGAAAACAATACTATAGCACATTATTTGAGAAGCCAAAGATATAATCTTAAAAGCAGCCAGTGAGAAAAAAATGTAATCATTTTTAAAGAAGCAACAGTAAACATGGCAGCTCATTTCTCATTGGAAGCAGTTGAAACCAAAACACAGTAGAATATGCTGAAACAAAGAAACTGCCGTCCTCTAAGTTGCTGTACTCAGAAAAATAAATAAAAGTAAAATTAACACATTTCAAATTGAATATATACCCATCTGTCACACTAAAAGTTTTTTTCCTGGTGAAAAGATTGTAGGCTGAAATGCTAATTTGCAGGTCAAGTATTGAATAAAGAACACATTAGATAATTTTAAGTGAATATTGAGTGTATATTACAAAGCACTAATAGTAAAGACTTGTAGGGTGATTTATATTTGTATGTTGTATATGTGGATATAGAGGGAGTTAAAATTGGAGTGAGAAAAATAAAGTATTCTGAGGTTCCTTTCTAGGATTGAGTAAATGTTATGATTTATATTTGATTTTGGTAAGTCAGGTATTAGTAAAATATATAACTCACAAGCTAATGGGGTAATGGATAAAATAATATCCAAAAGAAGGTAAGAAAGGAGATCAAGAAGAATATTGAAGAAGCAGGACAAATAGAAGATAATAAAATTGGAGATTTAAATCCAAAAATATCTGTAATGATGTTAAAGGTAAATGGATTAAATACACTGATTAAAATGTAATCAGGTTGGATTTAACAACAACAAAACTCCGCAAACCGTTTTACAAAAACTGTTCCTAAAATATAAGGACGCAGAAAGATGGAAAGTAAAGGAGTATAAAATATAAAATTTGCTTACTCTGTTAAAAATATATTAATATCAAAGTAGATTTTAAGGCCAAAAAAGCATTCCTGAAGTAGATATGTCATAATGACAAAAAGTTTTGTTCTTTATTATGTTATAGCAGCCTTTTATTTGTATGTCCGTAATATAACTTCAAAGTATGTAAGGCAGAAATTGACAAAACCTAAAGGAATAATAGAAAAATCATATGATGGGAGATTTCAGTTCAGCTCTCAATAAATAAGAGAACAGTCATACAAAAAATAAAACTTACTAAAGATATGGGAGATCTGAACTACTTGATTAATAAACTTGGAACACCTTTATGTTAATGTTTCTGCTTGAAACACTTTTTCATATTTTACACTGATTTCTTAATTTAAAACTTTTCTTTAAATAGAATTTTCACATTAAAGCATCCAGTTTTGGTTTTCTATTTTGGTCTGGAGTTGAAAATCTTTCATATATAAAACTTCAACATTAGCTAAGAAACAAATTCCTTTTTGTGTGGAATAACATCATTGTAAATATTAACTGCATTTCACAAATACGTGGATTTGAAATACTTCTCAGTGTTTGAGTCATTTACAAACTCTATAAACTGAGACCTGGAGACCATCTAAATGAAAATCCTGAGTAGAATAGTATTCAAGGTAGGCCTAGGGGACAATTCCCCCAAATGTTACACTATTTCAGTAGTGTAATCTATAATATATAGTACAAATATACTATTTATATTACTATATTTTAATAATTATATAAATATATAAATATATTTATATCAAATATGCATGTAATATATATTTATATATAATTATATATGCAATTATTTATAAATATGAGTTCCCCAAAATGTTACACTATTTCAGTAATCTATAATATATAGTACAAATACACTTATATTATATAGTTATATAATATATATAACATAAATATAACATTTTTTGGTAAGTCAATACATAATATATCTTATATAAATACAAGATATATATCTATAATACAAATTGTTTTAAAAATAAGTTTTATTGTGTATATTTCAGGTGTATTACATGACATGGGATACATATAGATAGTCAAAATGGTTATTATCGTGAAGCAAATAAACATTTTCATCATTTCACACAGTTGCCCTTTTTTGTGTGTATAGTATATGATACTAGTTTTTCATTTTGTGTTTGTTGACATGGAATTTTTAAGGGAGAAGGAAATGTCAAGGAAGAAGAAATTGTGGCTTAAAATTAAATTTGGGGCCGGGTGCAGTGGCTCATGGTTGTAATCCCAGGGCTTTGGGAGGCCAAGGTGGGTGGATCATGAGGTCAGGAGTTCAAGACTAGCTTGGCCAATATGTTGAAACCCTGTCTATACTAAAAATGCAAAAATTAGCTGGGTGTGGTGGCACCCCCCTGTAGTCCTAGCTGCTCAGGAGGCTGAGGCAGGAGAATTGCTTGAACCTGGGAGGCAGAGGTTGCAGTGAGTTGAGATTGAGCCACTGCACTCCAGCCTGGGCAACAGAGTGACACTTTGTCTCAAAAAAAAAAAAAAATTAATTTGAGTTTTATATTACTGTGCCATCAGAATGACTTAAGATGATCCTTTTAGGTGTTAACAAATGTTTGAGTGCTTGGATTCAATAGCAGTGGTAATTCTTTGAAGAAATACTTACTGAGGCCAGGCACTGTGGCTCATGCCTGTAATCCCAGTATTTCAGGAAACTGAGACAGGAGGATTACTTGAGACCAGAAGCTCACGACCAGCTTGGGCAGCATATTAAGACCCCCGTCTCTACAAAAAATAATTAGCCAGGCATGATGACACATGCTTATATTCCCAGCTACTTTGGGAAGCTTAGGCGGGAGGATTGCTTAAGCCCAGGAGTTTAAGGCTGCATTGAGCTGTGATCATGCCACCACACTCCAGCCTGTAATAGAGCAAGACTGTCTCAAAAATAAATACTTACTGTCTATTCTTTGCTGCCAAATCTGTGTTAGGTGATAGCATTACAGTGATGATCAAACAGAGATAATTTCTTCTTTCCAGAACCTACATTCTAGTGAGTAAAGTGGGATGTGGACAGAAATTAAATAATCACATGAATAAATGTAAGGTTGCAATATGTAAGAGACATTGGTACATGGTTCTGTGGAGTGGTATAATGGATGAAGTGGCCTTTTCTAAGTCTAAAGGAAGATATTAACAAGTTCAGAAGAGTTAGTATCAGCATGTGCAAAGACCATGGCAGGAGAAAGACTGTGGAAAGAAAGCTTATGTAGCTGTACCACAGAGAGCTAGAGTTGGGTAATGTAGTAGGGTCTTTTTGTGAAGTAATGTGGAATGAGAAGAAGCTGGGTAGGTAAGTAGAGGCTGTGCAATGCTGATATTTAGGAGAACATATAAAGAATATCGGGCTTAATCTTTAGAGCAATAGGAAGTCACTGAAATACTTTAGTGAGGTGGATAACATATTCAGATTTACATTTTGAAAAGATTGCAGTATGGAGAATAGATCTAAGGCCATTCATGGATATTGGTTCATTAAATTGATCTTATTGCAGTACTCTATGTAAGAAGTAATGGTAGTTTGGGCTAGAGTGGTGGAGCCAGAGATAATGGATAGATAACTTGGGTATTTAGGAGATAAATTTGACAGAACTGGGTGGTAGATGGGTATTAGATGTGAGGTAGAGAAGATATCAAAGTATTATAAGCTATTATAAAACTTGCTTTAGATTTAAATGAATACATTTTAAAATATATATTTTGAAAGTGTTTAAAAGTGAAGGAGTTCCTTGAATAGATAGTAAGTCATCTATATGGAGAAGACTATGAGACAAAATGATTTTATGAAGTTTTAATAGCAGCAGAAATACCTATGGTGTTATATAAAGCAGAATATAAAATTGTTTATAGTATTTATTCATAATTAGATAAAATGATAGTAGTAAAGCATGCTAATTATCAGAAATGACTCTTTGTGACATATAGATACCTCAAGAAGAACATGCTGCTAATGGGCCAGAACTCCTGAGGAAAAAACGTACAACTTCAGCTGAAAGAAATACTTGTCAGCTTTACATTCAGACTGATCATTTGTTCTTTAAGTATTACGGAACACGAGAAGCTGTGATTGCCCAGGTATTTATGATTATGCACTATTTTAGTAGTACTCATATTATTTTATAATACCTATACTTTCCTTTAAAAATTTAAATTAGTGTATTTTCTTTTTGGGAAAAAGAGTATGTATTTTCAGTTGTGATAAAATGTGTAAGACAAGTACACTGGTAACTGAAAGACCAGTTGGGATATTTTAGTGTCAAAAGAGAGGGGCACGACAATGATTTCCTGAAGAAGATGACGACACTGAAGCTTAGCTTTGGAAAGAGAGCTGAATTTTCATTATTGGTCTGAAAGGAGGGAAAGTTGGAGGAATCCTTCCAACTAGAAGTATTTAATTTTCCTCTATTTTTATTGTATGTTGCAGTTTCTAAGTTACATTATTATTATTATTTGCACTTGTGTCTTCTTAACCCTCATTAAAGTGTAAATATTTTGAGAGTACCCTCCAAAATGTCCTTCGTGTTGAAGGTACCCAATAAGAATTTGATGAATTAATTTTTGACTCAGGGGATTTGAAGTGGAGAAGATGGAGTTACCACTAGTATGAATGATTCATTTTGGTGGTGGGGATGAACTTATTTTTAACATGGATAAAAGCCAGGTAATCCTTCCCTTAGGATTTGGAAAATGTGGAACTAGAGCTTGAGGGCAGGGTAGCCTTGAGAGATTGAATGTGGAAAGAATGAACTCCAAAGAGAAGAAATTGGAGCTATCTGTATGTGGTGAATAGGATGAGGAAGGGAAGCTAGTGAAAAACGTAATAGTTAAAGAGGTAGGAGATTATATAGGATTAACCAAGGAACAAATAAATTTCAAGACAAAATAGCCTGAATTTATAATGAGCCCCATAAGCACAGTTAGGAATTTCATTAGCAGTGTTTGGCAGCCTGGGCTACTTTTGAAATGAATATTGTTAGTTAATGCTTTTACTTGACCATCTTGTTTTATGTTTTTACAGTTTCCTTGAAAGTAGTTTTGAGAGTATACATATGTTTTCACATAAATGGTAACAGGAGTGCTTTTTGTAAATGAAGTTGAGAAGGTTGTCTACAGAGTGGTTTACAAGCTAGAGAGTTTAGCTGGGTGTCAGCTTGGTAAACAGATGCTTCTGGGTTTATCATTGTTTATCTCCTTGTAGAATTTAGCAAAATCTGAATGTATATTTATTATATTTGTTTTATCTTCCTCCTTTCCTCCCCTACTAAAATAAGCCTCTGTAAATTTATAGGGACCTTCTGTATTTTGTTCACCACTATATCCCCAGTACCTAAAACAGTGTCTAGAATATAGAAAATGATCAACAAAGCTTACAGAATGTGTACTAGTGCAACAATAGAAAGATTAAAGTCAGAGAATGACTGAGTGCCCTGAACTGTCAGGGAAGTTCTTATAGAAAATGTTTGAGCTGAGTCTGAAGGATACATAGAGAAAGATACTCTAGGCATAGGAAATATGTGAAAATGAATGGACGTGTGACATTGTAGGACTGGATTGAAAAAACATAATTTTTATGTGACTGAAACAAGAGTTTATGTTTGGGCTGGGTGAGGTGGCTCATTCCTGTAATTCCTGGTCTTGAACTCCTGACCTCAAGTGATCCACTGACTGTGGGAGGCCAAGGTCAGTGGATCACTTGAGGTCAGGAGTTCAAGACCAGCTTGGTCAACATAGTGAAACCCTGTCTCTACTGAAAATATAAAAATTAGCTGGGCATGGTGGTGGGCACCTGTAATCCCAGCAACGTGGGAGGCTGAGGGAGGAGAATCACTTGAACCCAGGAAGCAGAGGTTACAGGGAGCTGAAATTGCACCACTGCACTCCACCCTGGCCACAGAGCAAGACTCTGTCTCCAAAAAAAAAAAAAGCATGTTTGTTGTTGGCCAGAGGAATCTGGAAAAGAAATAGGATCGGCCGGGCTCACGCCCTAATCTCAACACTTTGGGAGGCCAAGGTGGGTGGATCACCTGAGGTCAGGAGTTCGAGACCAGCCTGGCCAAAATGGTAAAACCCCATCTCTAAATTTAAAAAAATAAAAGAAAATGGAATCTCCCCTCTCAGTGCAGCTCACTAATCTTTTTCATTTTTCTGTCCAGTATATAATGTTGACATTTTAAAATTTGAGTGTGGCCTGATATGAATAATTATTGATTTTGGAAATGGAAATTTATAATCTTTGTCATATTTCAACATTGCCTCTAAAATGTTCTTTTTTTTAAATCATAGATATCCAGTCATGTTAAAGCGATTGATACAATTTACCAGACCACAGACTTCTCCGGAATCCGCAACATCAGTTTCATGGTGAAACGCATAAGAGTAAGGAACTTAAATAGTTAAAAACACTTAAAAAGTGAAACAATCAGAACCGTGTAAAAAAAAAAATGCTTACTTTTAATTTTATCTTCATGAATTAAATAGTTTAAATTGTATCTATTAATGCAGTTTTTTACTGTTGGCATTTACACACAGACACACACACACACACACACACACACACACACACACACAGATAATTGAGTTTATGACTTAAGAATTAAATATATAAGGCCTTAATTTGGACTATAATAGAGGAAAAGTGTGTTTTTAATCTATATGATTAGCATACTATTAAGAAATCTCTGACCTTTCAATAACTATGGATGTCGTACTTGACTTGTTTCCCCCGACGTTATCCCTCAGTTTCCTAAAATTTACCTTGTGCAGTATTTTTCAGTATGTGTCCCATTTGGTGTTCCAGGGGAGTAAAATGATAAATTCAGTGTTTAAATAAAATTGTAAGTTGGAAAAACACTTAGTACTATAATCATCTTGAAAATTCACAACTCACGGTAACATATATCAAGTTTTGAGAAGTTTTTCAGGAAAGAAACCCAATTTTTCTAAATTCTTGACCATGAAACTTTTTTATTTTTTATATATTAACATCAACAGAACCCAGAATACTTAAGGCATTTTGAGAAATGCTGGTCCAGAGCCATATGGTCACTTATTAGTTTAAATGTTATAAATTACAGGTAAATAAATAAATCTTAAATTACTGACAAATTTAGCCTATTTTTAAAAAAAATTTCTGAATATTCTAAGTATGTATGTATTGCTTTTTAAGAAACAGTATTGATATACTAAACAACCAAACTTTAAAAAATGACCCGTTCACAGAAGTATTTGCCACAGGGTTCCTTAGTATTTATGCTCTCCTATTTTTCTTCAAATATGGTTAGATAAAAATGTCTATACTAGAAAATTTTAGTATATACATTCAGTCATATAGTTGTAGGTACTCCTTAAATTTAGAAGTAGTATGATTAAATCTTAAATTGGATTTTCTTAAAGTGAAATATGGTTTGTTAATTTACAGTATAAGTGTTCATAATTAATTGCTTTCATGTATTCTGAGAGCAATATAAATCCTAAAATGAGCAAGTAACAGTGATAAGAGATATAAGTGTTGCTGTTTAGTAGGCAGAGCAATAAAATGCAAGTAATGAAAAGTAGAGAACACCTGAACACATTTTAGTGAAACACTGTTTTTGAGGAAAATGATTCCTCTTGTGAAGAAATGCATGTATATAAGTGAATAATGTGGTAGTTGGTTGTTTCAGACCTTAACTATTATTAAAACTTTAGTTTAAGTTTTATCTGTTGAAGATTTTTCATGACCTATTAATTTAAAGTTTATGTTCTGTCAGCAAATGTTAATAATTCATTTAAATAGAGGTAATTAAAATTCATATGCTTTTTTTTTTTTTTTTTTTTTTTTTTTNTTTTTTTGAGGCAAGTCTTGCTCTGTCACCCAGGCTGAAGTGCAGTGGCTTGATCTTGGCTGACTGCAGCCTTTGCCTCCCAGGTTCAAGTGATTCTCTTGCCTCACCCTCCTAAGTAGCTGGGATTACAAGCACCTGCCATCATGCCTGTCTAATTTTTGTAGATACGGGGTTTCACCATGTTGGCCAGGCTGGTCTTCAACTCCTGACCTCAGATGATCCGCCCTCCTCAGCCTCCCAAAATGCTGGGATTACAGGTGTGAGCCACTGTGTCCAGCGTTAGATGCAATTTTTATTTATAGCCAGTATTAGAGAATTACTAGGAAATTTCATTTTTATACTTAGTAGGAGAAAGCCATCTACAGCTTATCTTCAAGCATTGACTATGTGTAACATACAGTGTGCTTGCTTTTGAATTTTTTTGTTGTTAAATGGCCATAATTGATTGTTTTTGGTTAATTGTTAATGGATAAACCAGATGTTTTGAAATCTGTTCTTCAGCAGTTGCCCTTGACGGTGGTTTTGCCTTCCTGGTTCTTAACCTCTTGGTTTTACTGGAGAGTACGGATCATAAAGAGACCTATAGTTATTGTTGTATCAACCATTACATCATCCCCTTAACTGACAACATTTTCCGTTAGACTGAGGTTTGCGTTCCAATAAAAACATTTGCTTTCATATTGTAATTTCTTGGCTTACCTGGAGAAAGCCAAATTGTTCTGGTACTTCAGAGGAGACACACAGGTCTCTGAAGGGATGCAGGGGCTAATAAATAAAAGCTTTTGTTTAATAGAAGCCTGGTATTAGAACAGATTATTCTTCAGATTCTGAAGGAGGAACCTGTAGTAGGAGTATAGTAGCTAAGTATCAAAAGAAGCATTCTGGAAGAACTCAGCTTGAAATAGTAAAAGAAGTGAGTTTAAATTAGAAAGCAAAATTCTTGCCCACGTTCAGGAAAAAAAAATAAGCTTGTAGTTAGTTTGGCTTGGCTCATGTGACTCTCTAGGCAAGATAAACCAGGAAAATGATTTGCTTGCTGAACTGACAATGTTGGGTTTGATATCTATTTATTATTTTTTTTTCCAGGAATGTCAGCAAAGGGGATTTTTAAAAATTATTATTATTTTTGATATCTATTTTATAGTCTGATAATTTGCTAAAATATAGGGTTTTGTATCCTTTTAAGTATCACCATATGTAGGAGATTAGGACTAAAGACGACTTGTTCAGATGATTAAATTTGAGAAACTGTACTTCCTTTACTGGAAGTTTTAAAAGCAAAACTTGTTTTTTTCTTCCCAGGTATTCTGTGTTCAGGAATCTGGTGAATACTTGCTCAGAAATTTAACATCTTCAATTTTAATTTCCCTACCTTGCCTTTCTTTTTTCTTTTATTTGTTGTTATTGTTTTGCCTTCTATGATTAGCTCAGGGATGTGGGCAGTGGGAACAACCTTAGAAGCCTTAATTCGGGCCTCATTTCCGTGGGACCCTGAGCATATTGTCCAGGTGTATGCAGAAGAAGATGAGCAGAGACTTACACTAAGATTCTGCCAACATTAATTACTTACTAAATTCTTGTTTTGGATTTTAGATCAATACAACTGCTGATGAAAAGGACCCTACAAATCCTTTCCGTTTCCCAAATATTGGTGTGGAGAAGTTTCTGGAATTGAATTCTGAGCAGAATCATGATGACTACTGTTTGGCCTATGTCTTCACAGACCGAGATTTTGATGATGGCGTACTTGGCCTGGCTTGGGTTGGAGCACCTTCAGGTAGTTTATCTTATTAAATATGCCTTAACTTACTGCTGAAACAAAGAGGAGTTTTCAGGGAATATTGAATTTTCAGAGCATAGGAGAAAGTGAAGCCTGTACAATATCTTAATTTACACTATGTCAGGCAAGATTCATAAGCATAAAGTAAAAGGCACAAGAGATGAAGGAGATTTTTATTTTGAAATGTGTAAAGGGAAATATCCTGACATTTGATCCATTTGAATAGACCAAATGAAATAAATAATTTTATAGCAAAAAGTGGTAATTCTGAAACCCAAAGGGAAATTTAATTTTTCATAAAAGTTAATGTTACTTATTTATTAACTTTTTTTTTCCAAAATAGGGTACTTAGAATCAAAAGGGGAAAACTGTGTCTTGCCCTCTCTTCTATAGTGAGATAAGGAACAGAGAAATCCTCATCAAGAGCAGCAGACAGAAAGAAAAGAAAGCCTGCCTTTATTATTTAATTTCTAGCCTTTATTTTAATAAAAGAGAAGCACTGCCTGAAAGAGGTGTAGGCAGGAACCCCCTGGTACCCACAGTTCCACTGACATCATCACCTGGGTTCATACTCTGCCAAGTCTCTGCCTTAGCCATCTGAAAGCTATTGTCACTGATAACGTTCGGATGGGACCGTCCCCTTCCTATTACAGTGGGGTGGGGTGGCGTGGAGGATCTGTGATTTACTGTGTAAGTTTGGTTGCCTAGTTTAGAAATCCAAATTTATTAATTGAAAGATGAGTGGAAAGGACCCCAGGCTCTTTGAATATAAATTGTGCCAAGTAGAGTTTAATCAGTAGTATATTGTCTTCTGAGCTATATACAACAAGTTCTCCTTCTGATACTTCATTTCTATCTTTTTTTTAAAAAAAAACTTCTGCTTTAATCCAGAGTAAGAGAAGCTTTTGTATTCCTATTCTTATTAATCTTTGATTTGTTTTATATATTTTAATATCTTAGTACTGTGTTTTCCTTTATATTTCTTTCTCCTTTTTTAAAAGTCATTAAGTCAATATTTTTTACAATTTCCATAGCTTCTTTTGTTTTTCTTCTATGTTTTAAAGTGTACTCAATTTCATGATGTCAGTAAAGTACAACTTTTTGTCATGGAGTGCATATTATAGTGCAGTATTTTTTGATATTTGTCTTTTATGATAGTCTTTGCTTTCTTTGTTACTTGGATTGGTCAGCAGATTGTACAGCTCACTCTTTCCTATGATATTTCATGTTTGAAACTTTCTTTTTTTTTTTGAGGCGGAGTTTCGCTCTTGTTACCCAGGCTGGAGTGCAATGGCGCGATCTCGGCTCACCGCAACCTCCGCCTCCTGGGTTCAGGCAATTCTCCTGCCTCAGCCTCCTTAGTAGCTGGGATTACAGGCACGCACCACCATGCCCAGTTAATTTTTTGTATTTTTAGTAGAGACGGGGTTTCACCATGTTGACCAGGATGGTCTCGATCTCTTGACCTCGTGATCCACCTGCCTCGGCCTCCCAAAGTGCTGGGATTACAGGCTTGAGCCACCGCGCCCGGCTTGAAACTTTCATACTCTGAAATCTTTTTGCCTGTTCAATAGTTGGATGATTTTATCACAAAGTTTGTGATTTATTCTCCCTATTCATTAGTAAGTACTATTAAAAAACTCAGTGTCTCGTTTGATTTTTATTTGTATATTATCCCTTAATATAGTAGTTCTGAAGTCTAAAATAAATAAGTGGTTCTCAAAGTATGGTCCATGGACTAGTAGTACCATCAGCATCACCTCAGAACTTCTTAGAAATATAAGTTGATACTCCCTACCCAGGTCTCTTGACTCAGAAACTCTAGGTGTCAGGCCCAACAGTCTTCCACATTAATATTTTTGTCTCTAAAGCTTGTTCACAAAATGCCTCCTGGGTAATGGAGTATATGATCTTAAACTTAAAAACTTCCTGCTGTTTTGCATTTTCAGTTTCACACTATTGTACTTAAGGATGTAATGTTTCTGTAGAAATTTGATAAAATTCTTCCTAAATCTTCAGATATTGTCATGTCTTTAGATTCAGGTACTCAATTTTTACAAATAGGCTTTAATATTTAAAACAGTTTTAGATTTACAAAACATTGAACAGATTAGGTATTCTCCAATCTCTATCCTCCCTCCCCTGATAATTTTGAGGAGTACTGGTCAGGTATATTTTAGAATGCTCCTCCATTTGGAATCTGTCTGATATTTTCCTCATGATTAACCTAACTTAGGGGTTTTTGGGGACACTTAGTGTTTATGTCTCATTGTTTGTGATATTTGAATCACCATTTGTGATGCCGCTCATTTTCCTGAGGTGGGCAGAGTTCTGAATTGAAAATGGTGGGAAATGTTACTTGTATTTTCATTATTAGGTTCTTCATAAAGGTGAAACAAGATTCTTCCTGTGTACTTCATGAGCAAAACTACAGTATTTGGCAACCAAAATAGCAAAATAAGACTACTATTGTCAACGTTCGACCCCCATTTTCTCCTCCCTCTGGTCTGTTTTTTTTTTTTTTTTTT